GTAATATTCGTGTATTAAAGACCATGTATTACCGAACCGCTGAACGGGCAAACGTCAAACGCACATGAACTCTCCACCGGAAACTCCCTCTTCTCTCGTTCCGTCGAGGATCGCGCCGTCCTACCCTTTTCCGCCGGCTCGCCTCGCGTTCTCGCCACCCCCACCTTTCTCCACCGTGTTCGCCACTTTATTACGCCGGGGCCGTAGCCTTAAGGCCACGTCGAACCGTATCCAACCCTGCCGCGGATTGATTTACCTAAACTGGGATTTTCATTGGTCGCCGACGCGTGGACCCTCGTGTTCTGCTGTACGTACCCTCACGAGCAAACTTGGCTTCCGCTAGGGGAAAATGACATAGGTGAAGGTCCTCCTACCAATTGGTAAATGTATTTCAAGTACTGAAACAAAAAAACGGAGTGTTAATTTAAGTTATAAATTTCGGTAATTCCCCAAGATCCAGTGGTAGAATGTCTTTCTACTATTAGGTGCTTTCGTTTTCCCTTCTTTTATAATGATAGTGCTAATAACAATAACAATGATGGTAATCATAACAATAATGGTAATAGGAATGAGAAGAATTTGAAAAGTCGACAATATATTCTGTTTATCAATAGGGATATGTAGTGCAATAACTAAGCTTTCGAATGATACGTCGTTTATTGAAAAATAACAATTCATAGTAACATTAGTGAAATGTCATAGTAATATAGTATACTAATTCATAGTAATACTAACGTAACTCACAAAAGTATTGGTACTCGTAACCAGTTGTATCCTTATAGAATGAAAATATTTGATAAATACTTGTAAATTTTCTGTAGCCCTTTAAATTATACGTAAGATGTATAACGACAATTCGATGGTTGTCAGAAAAAACGCCGCACGTCACATGATTTCATTTCCGCGATATTGCCGTTCAAAGTTCTCATATTACTGTTTTATGTTCTTAAACTTTTTAAATTCTTCTTATTAGCAATATTTCCTTCTTTTCTTATTTCGAAATAAATATATGTTTCCTGCACTTTGCAAACCTAAAAAAAAAAAAACAGAGAAATGAACACTGAAAAAAACACGACCTCGTGATCTCTCATCGTCGAATGAGAGACTGAGATAGAGGAAGAGAGACACTTTACAAAATATCAACAATTTTCGAAACGTGCTCAACAAGCAGATCTGCGCTTGACAACCGCGTCATTATTAATATTGCTCGACTCGGTGAGAAGGAGGGGGGGGGGGCGCTCGACGACGTGTGTCGGTAGGAAATTAATAAAAAGTTTATTATTCTTTAATATCTTATGGAGCATTTTATGGAACGTTTCCTGTTCACGTTGGTTCACGGGGGAGGGGGGCGCGTGCACCTGACACGGTGAAACGTGAACGAATTTCATGCGTCAATGCGCTTCCCGGTGTTCTCTCTCTCTCGCTCTCTCTCTCTTTTTTTTGTCATACACGAACCACCGTGACCGAAGTTTTCACTAATAATGGATTTTTCCACTTGTAACGAGCTTGTCGGGCCACGGTCAATCGCTTCCGAATTGGAAATCGATCGGAAATACGTGCAGGAACGTTCCGATACAGATTTTTTTCTATTTAAATTCATACAAGAGGAGACACACCTTTATTCGGCACAATTATTCGTTCGAATTCAACGCTTAATCGGTTATTTCGATCAAACATTTTATGTCGATGGAAAAAATTGTCGATAGAGATTATAATTATTCTGGTTTATATTCTTTAGTAACACTTTAGTAGAAATGTAGTCTGTATATATGCATGGACAATAAAGTAAATTTAAACTAAAGCGTTACAAAAGCATGTAAACCAGAATTAAATTAAAATTGCATTTTTCTTAAAATTCTAAAGGAGTTGACATATTCTGCAGCCAGATTTGAATTCAGCTTGTCGAAGTTTATAGGAAATGATGTATAACAAGTTATGAATTAAACACTTGCTACTTTTACGTGGACTATAACATATTTTATTTTGAACGAAATCTCTGACAACCAGTGCAAAAAGTCATCGATATGGCCTGGAATGACCCATATTCAACAGCTCAATTAATGCATAAACTCGAAATTTGTCAATAATTAAAAATTCTTAGTCGAACATATAATATGGCGTACGAGTGAAGAGAATGTCTCCGTACATTAATTCTATAAAATGTAATTTTATTTAATCAAGATTAAATGTCACTAAAATATAATTCTTGGCTCCTCGAACGATTTTCGTAGGTGCTCATGACGCTTGGGACGTGCCTCTTTTTTTTTATTTATTCACGCCGCGAAGCGATCCCCTCCGATTTGGATTTTCAAGCGTCCTTCGGATGGAGTGTTCAACCCCTAAGCGAGCATCTTCGGCTTGATATTACCTTGTGATCTTTACCCTCGGGCAGAAAGATCGGATTTCAAGAAACTCTCCCCTTCTGCAGAAAGATCCCTGTTCAAATAATATAATACCTCGCTGCACGCATTTCGTGAATCGTAAACAATCGTGGATGCAATAAATGCATAAAATCCACTTTTTAGTTATTAACGACGAATCAAAGTAGTTTGGTGTTATTTAAAAACTGAAATAATATTTCCGCAGCTTGAATAATTACCGAATTTTAAGGAAATTCCATGTATTCTTGATATGATCAAAATACTTAACAAAGATTGGGGATATTTGTTATTTCAGTCTCATCATAACAAATTCCTAAAGAATTCATATAAATTCCTTCTTTGATTCTGTCCTCTGCAACACAGACCGCGAACATGCGTATTTACATAAACAGTGACAATATTATTCAATCCACGGAGTTCAGCCGACCGAACTTTGTTTTCCAATAACCCAGCCGGTTACCATCGATTAAAAATATTCAAGTAAATATTTGCGAGGAACAACAACTGACACAGCTAAAAACGATCGTTTCACTTCTATTAATTTCGTAGATTTCCAGTGGTCTTCTCACCTTCAATTAATTATTCACACTGATAACACCGTTCAACTTTTAATTTTTCCTACCTCATAACCGCCAATAGGCATTTCTGATAGATCTTTATTAACTGAATACGAATCTGCAAATTATGTTTTTTTCCAGCACGTCCAGTTATAGAAAAAATTTTGATTACAGACTCCTCTCGATTATTGGTTGGCTTGTTCTACACGATTATTGTCCAGACGATATCCCCACCACTGGGGAGGGGGGGGGGGGCGTAGAGCCTTTCAAACGCGTACTTTGTTGCCCCTCCGCTATTATTGCCGAGGGTTTGAAGCATTTCTCCCTATAAGATTATTGTCCCGGCGCAAACCCGAGTTCGGGACAATAATCGAAAGGAGTCTGTACCTCGAAAACTATGCATCACCCGTACAAATTTTATTCCTTATTTTCAACTTATTTTTTCTTTTATTGTAGAATCACCTCCTTCCCGGTTGTAGTACCCAACCTGAAACACCTTCTATGTTACGTTGAACAGTTGGTAGTACATATGCAAATACTAGAGGTTATATGAAGGTCAACTTTGTTCTTTAAATCGAATCGTATATTTTTTAATGCACTACCTGATGCTACTCGTTATTCCCTACATAAAATACTAAGTCACTTATGGCGAATTAGATCATTGAAAGACATATAAGATTCCATTTGAAAAAAAAACAAAGTTAACCTTCATATGACCTCCACGCGTCCATATAGAAACAAGTTACATCAGAAAGTGTGCCTCCTGATACCACTTAACTTTTGTCTGAAATATTTTTTACCATCGACAATAGTTTCGGAGATATTCGAGTGGATCGATTTAAATGGTACACTCTGTTTATTAAAGTCAATAGTATGCAAAAATGGGTCGAAATAGACCCAGCAATCGTCAATCGAAGTTTAAGTGCTATGTCTCCGTTGAATTCAGTGAACGATACATTAAAAATAAATGGATTTAACTTGAAGTTTTATTTTTCATTTTCAGAATAATACGGATAATATCGATTTTACGGCGATCGATGCAATTTACACGGGGATCGCGCGACCAAATTTTTCACAACAAAGAACGGATACGGTCGCAGTGTTGAGGATCCCGGGGGGATTCGGCCCCGCAGCTAAAGAGCGTATTAACGCGTCGGGTCGTTAGGGTTTCTGCATCGTGTCAAGCGCACACGCCCCCGGCAAATGAAAATACGAAAACAATTTCGGGCGAATTAATCGCTGGCAGATCCATGTAATTTTCTCGCCTCTGATATATTCGTTTAATCTATCAACTATAATTCGCCCCCCTCCGACCATTTTCCAACCGGCGAAATTTTCCGTCTGCGCACCGTGATGAAAAATTGGAAATTAATTAGGAATCGCAACGGTACTGTTAATAATTGCAATAACACGAGGGAGTGAAAACGAAGTCGTTCGAGGGAATTATAAGTAACGAATGTATTCTCATTTGCGCACAAAAATTGGCAAAATCAATGGAAACAATGCAATGGCCTTAAAATAATATAGCTAGATTCCTTAAAAATTCCTCTATAAAATAATGTTCTCAGGAAATGATGTTCTTATCCCTTATGGATGGTACAAACAGAATATGTATGTATCTATTTATGTATATGTGCATATACAGTGTAGGTCAGTTAACGTGACCTCAATTACTCGTACATAATTGGCTATATGAGAAAATATTTTAAACAAAAGTTGCACCATATTTAATTTTTTAATTTTTAATTCATTAAAAAATAATATTTTTCTAACAACTTATTAAGAAGGAGCAATTGAAATAATGTTGCATACAGGTTAGATATGACGTCATACGGTAGGCGCTCGTTTATTGCAGCTATTTTATTGCAGCATAGGAATACCCTTCGCTCACACGTATTTCTCACCCACGTGCGCGCAGCCCACTCTGTTGTCCAGCACATTATTTCTTGCAATCACTAACAATTTTTATCTTAAAAAATTGCCCCCGATTTGTGCTCTCGGAATCTGAAATTTCCATCGCAACGTTTATATTTATATATCTAATTTTCCTCGAATCTTTCAGGTGAAGATCTGGTTCCAAAATCGCCGAATGAAATGGAGGAACAGCAAGGAAAGGGAACTGTTGGCGACCGGTGGTTCACGGGAGCAAACCTTGCCGAACAAAAACAACCCGAATCCAGATTTAAGCGACGCTGACGGGGACAGACCGAGGATGGATTTGAGCGACGTCAGCCCCCTGACAAGTCCCCAACGACCGGAAGAGCAAACGGAGAACGAGGAGGACGAGGAGATCAACGTCACGTGATAAGATTCCACGCGTCAGATCCGGCCAGGAAACGCGATCGACGAGGAAACGATCGAGGATCCCGTGACTGGAGGCACGGTGATCGAGGTACACCGATAGGAATCAATGTAACACGCGGAGGCTTCACCTCCCTGGATCCCCTAAACCGGGATGATCCTATTGTGTCCGTTCTGACGGAAGAATCGCCGCGAAAACGATTCAAGATGGTGGACGGTTCCGGCAAATAGAGTGACCACCGTGAAATAACAATTAGCCCGTTGCTGTACGGTTTCTTTCGAATCACTTTGTTGTTCGCGCGCAATTTGACAACGGAGGAGCAGATTCTGTGTTCGTGATACAGGGTGTAACAAAAATGTTGTCCGATCCGGAAATAGAGCACTCGGGGAGTGAATTGGAACAAGTTTTTCCTTAGCAACAATGTAATCTGAAGCTTCGTTACCGAGATATTAACGAAAAACCCCGACCAATCAGAGCGCGAGTTTGCCAGCAGAGTTCCCGCGCTAGCGGTGGTTACGCGCTGCGATTTGTAGCCAACGCTACCGATAACGCTCTGATTGGTCGGGGTTTTTCGTTAATATCTCGGTAACGAAGCCTCAGATTACATTGTTGCTAAGGAACAACTTGTTCCAAATCACCCCCCGAGTGCCCCATTTCCGGGTCGGACAACATTTTTGTTACACCCTGTATAAGTGTACATTTAGTCGGGAGGCGAAATGAGCCGCTCAGAAGTCGAATCGGGGAACTCCATTTAGATGTTACATAAAATTATTGTATTCAGCTTTGTTACTGGTATGTTTGCTACGATTACATATCGTAGATGTCATGTTGTCATGAGTGTTTAACCTGTTAACCGAGTGATTTCTCGATCATCGAAGTTCATGTATTTAGGACACCATGAAAGGGACGATTTAGCATGCGACTTGTACCACATAAGCACGGTATAATTTATTTACATTACTACGGTTATTATAATTTAATCGAATGTAATAAAAAGTTTGAGTAAATAAGGGAAAAAAATTAATAATTGTCGGTAGATATAATCGAGCACAAACGACGAATCAACTCCGGTGAACAGGTCGAAACTTTGCGTTTACATAAGTATTTGCAGTTTATTTGTGGTGTTGCCGTGTCTGCTTTTTATTTTATGGAATTAACCCGTTCGGCTTCGGGGAGCCTCGGATATTAATAACAACAAAATAGTATCTCGACCCGGAGCGAAATTAATGGATACTCGTGTCTATTGATTTCTGTTTGAAATCTTTCCCAAGACCCCAACAACGGCGGGACAACGTTCGTCGTGATTTAAATAAACATAGAAAGTAACGCATACAATGTTTGCTCGGGTATTTATAAGTGAACTGAATTCGATTGAACTTTTGATTTCGACCGATTCAGATTTATAGGCGGATCGTACGCGCCACGGATTATGATTGCAAAACGGTGTCCTGTTTAATCGTCTACCGTGGAAAGGCTTCGACCCGATGGAATTTTCAAATTAAAATTGAGAAAGTGTATCATATTGTAATTAGAAGTGGATGTAAGTTCGAGCGATTTTTTCTGTAAGGTATCGTATAGGTTGTACTAGACATAATAAATACGATTCCTAAGATTATGTACCTAAGGTCTAGCTGTAACGCCGCTCGGCATCGGGAAAGCAAATGTAATTATTCATTGTGATGCACTATAATCTGTGTAATATATTGCAATAAAACTGTCTATGCCAAACATTCCGTATCTTTTGTGATCTATGAATCTATGCAAAACATACAAACCCGACTATCTTGCACTAATTTATTTGTGGTATGTGTGCATATATCACTTGACACTCTATCCTTAAAATCAGATCAATTATTTTTATTTCACCGAGATTTCATATATTAAATAGCAAACAGATACATGCTACTAATGGTATATTTTTATTGTATTGCTTTCTGACTTGTACAATGTTATGATACATATCATAAAAATGTCTATCGGTACATTTAACGGAAAACGTATATTTCTCACTAAATAAATATTTTAAGAGTTGTTGCTAAAATACTTGTTGTATAATTATAATATATAATAATTAAATATTTAAATTAATAAATCTGGTTCCCTGTATGTATTACAGCAGCAATGCAATTGCATCTAGCGTGACAACAAGAATGACACATATATTCCTTGTCAGTTAATATTATATTACAAGGAAGAAATATTTTATACTACAATTCATTACTTTAATTCTATAATTCGTTTCTATTACATTATCCTGTATAGGTCCTTAGCATTGCTCATGTGGATTTTATTAATGGTATAACATATGAGCTCTATTTTATTAATTTATCTTACAGTATACAACATTGTACGATATGCCTATAGCCACCATACTCATATTCGTATATGAAAGAAATTCATATTTGTTGCATAATTAAAAGTTAAATTACATGTTGCACTTCTTGTTAACGTCCAATCAAACCATTAAATACATTAAAACTATATTAAAATGTTGGAAGAAATATACTGCAAATAAAGTTTCATTGTTGAAGTCATGAATTTCAGTTTACTAAAGATATATGAAATTTTTATATGGATAACAAGTATGAAAAATAATTTATATACTTTTACTGCATCAATTGAAATATGAATTGTTTGCACACTTTCACTATTTTTTTATGTAGTTTATATTGTTTTTCTGATTGACAATAATTTACCATTAAATCAGTCTATAATTATTGCAAATATCTGTTTGAAATATGCAAAAAGGCAAGTTAACTTAACAAAATAGTTTCATAATTACTACAAGATTAAGTCTATAGTTTTAAATAAATATAAATACAATTATATAATTTTCATGTACAATTTAAAAAATTTTATATAATACCTCCCTATATAATTCAGAAAAATGACTGAGAAAGTAAGAAAGCACTTATTTTCTTAATTTAGAAAAATATAAATGCATCTAATAAAACAACAAGGGTTTTAATGTAATTACTCATTTTACCAATGTCCCTCGATCTTTTTAATTGAAATGCAGTTCTTATTCTGCCGATTAAAATGTTAGTATTCGCTAATAACTGAGTACTAGCAAATAATTGTCTGATACAATTCGACAGAGATAAAGATTCTCATAATTACTTACATTATTATACCTTATACACAGTACTTCGTTAGATCTCTACTCTACACATAATCATTGATGGATGCCAATTAACGTATTAGCACAATGATCATTTACTACTACTTGTTAATATAAGTAGCACTATTCTTAACACATTGTATACTGCACATAAAAATGTTTGTCGTGCTTGAGAAATACAGTTTGGTAACATTATGAAGTTTTTTAAATTAAAATGAGCAAGTATAAAAGTTCTGTCAGGTCATAAATCGTGATGAAATAGACTATACAGTACACATTATAATTCATCTAACACGTAAGTGCAATAGCGTATGTGTTTCATTATAGTTTTATCAACTACTATACAAATAAAATATGAATTTTTTTTAATTCATTTCAATGAAGTCTGTATATTAAGTAATTTTCATTGATAGCAAAAAACAAATAAATATATATATGTATATATATCTTAACAGGTACACAATGTGTTAAATAAACTCATCCAAAACTTTAGTTGAAATTTGAAAAATCTGTTTTCAGCTTAATAGATGGTGTGGAAATCTTAACCTGTGGCTTCACAAGATCTATTGGTCTGTTGTGCCTTTGTGCTTGTTGATGAGAGGATCTCACAGCATTTTCTAACTTTGTTTTCAGTTCTGTAGATTGTGACATTAATGTTTTGAATTCCTGAAACAACAAATATATACTCCAAAGTTGACTATATATTTTTCAAATACATAATGATAATTGTTGTAATGATGGGAATACCTGAGGGTATTTTGGTCCTATCTTATTTAGCCATTGAAAACTCTGTTGATGCAGACTTAACTGATACTTGGAAGCATGCTGAAGTTGTTCTCCTTCTAGTAAATAGTTAATCAGGATTGGCACAAGTAACGTTAGCATCTGTATACCTATATATTTACCAACAGAAAGATTATATTACATTTTGTTTCTGCATCAAAGAAAATAACTAGATAATAAGAAATCTAAAACACATTCAATCGCATCAGTTTCTCAGTATATTACATTCTCACTATTACACACCTTGTAAAAGGTCTCCTGAATTGCATGTAACATAATTTTTGTTAAAATCAATTTGATCTTTTAGTTACACACTATTCTTAATTCTACTAATACAACTATGTAACTAAAACTATAAAAAAATAATGAAGATTATTACGTACGATGAGAAAGATCAGCGAGTCCTATGAGGGCTTCAACAGTGCTAATGCATTCTAAGGTGAACGATAATTCTAAATCATCTGCAACTTGTTTGCTCTTATCGTTATATAGATACTCCACCAATCTGGGGGCTAATGCATGAATATAAGGTGTGCTGATTACACGTTCTGGATGCAAAAATATTGTTCTCAATGTTTGCACACATTTTAATTTCACCTAGAAAAATTTAACAACACAGGTGAATGTTAAATGGTCATTTAAGAAATTATTAGAACGTTATGAAACTCACCATTGTATTTTCTGATTGGAATGCATGCCTAAAATGATTGATACACGGGAACTGCAGGTTCGGCGCACTTACGACTTCCGGAGAAGCATGAAGAACAAATACTGCAATACCTAATATCATCGCCACTTCGTCCATTTTTGTCTCGTCGTTTCCTATAAATATGTTGTTTAATAACAGGCTAACCGTAAATGAAAATTATTATACATGGATAATTCTTAATGTTATATACCTGTTTTAGCAAGATCAATGATCTTGGCCAAAGCGCTTTGCAAAAGACTCGTCCACTGTTCTTGACTTCTGTGATCCTGCGCGTATTTATTTGTAGTAAGATTTTTCATACAGTGTAAAGCTGCATGAACTGGTATTTCAGACCCTGTTTTATTGCACTCATTATCTGTGCGTACTGCAGTTTCTCTTATTACTCCAGTTGCGAGGTACAGTAATGTAGGAAGAATTGCTATAGCTCCTGAAAAAAGAGAGCAATGCAGACATTAATCTTTGCTTTATATTTTGTTTTAAATTATATTGTGAACAAACATTGATTCTTATTTTAGTTTGGACATCTTTCATGTAGATATAGATTTTGGCCACCCCTCATTAGAAATAAGAATTTACCTTGAGGCGAACAAAGGTTAGGAAGGGATTCCATTGTACTAAGCGCAGCTGCTATCAGCTTTCCACTTTCTTCGGACGGCATGTATCCTCTTTGGGATAAAATTGCAGTTGTACCGCCAGGATTCGGATTCAACGCTGGTATTTGACGAACCAAAAGGCACAAGCACACTTCCAGAATAGCAAACACCAAAGATTTGCCTGGCACAAGCTCACCACCTTCTTCCCCTTCTCCTAACAGATCTACATCTTGAATTTCATTACTTTCCTCCTGTGCAGGTGTAATTTCTAAAATAACGTTGCATGCATGTATTACGGCACATTCAGGTTTCGAAATGTATGAAATATAAATTTATTACTGTCTACCTTTCAATTTGTTTGTCTTCCTTTCTGCTAGATCTTCTTGTGCAGCTTTCATCACTTGTTTTAAAACTTCCATTACTATCATCTGGATAACATAACTTTCTCTCGTTAGTAACATCCTGAAATAGAGAATTCAAATAAAGGGTATTCTTACGTATATATAATACGTATGCTTATATTTATATTATCAATAGAAAACACACCGATGAAGAACATTACACAGTTCAATTGGCAAGGAACGATCTGTAATCAATACTTTACGAGCCCATGCAGAGTCTAATAAAGTGTACAAAGCGTTCAAACATGTTTCTATATTCTGTGAAGATTCCGAAGTTCGTGGGCTGCACAGAGCTTCCATGCATATACCTAAAACATTTAAGAAATGCACAGTATAAAGTAATATCGTTAAACAATATACCTATCTTCGCCTCCCTGGGATTTATTGTTTAAAAAATACTTACCAAACAATAAATGGAAACGTTCGACATTAGTATTAGTTTTAGCAGACACGTCGTTGTTATTATTATTATTATTTGCTGCATTCGAAGTTTGCACTTCAGTCATTGTTTCCTCTAACCCGAAGCCTTTTGCATTTAACCAAAGAGTCGCAGCATGAAGAATTGGTGCCCATGATTCCGCGTAATGAGGTCGAGCCGAATCCATTGTATCTGTTGTATAGAAAGCACCGCCATCATGTGGTAACTGACTAGAAAATTCTGATAATGCAAGAAATTTATTATCACTGGCGAATAACAGAAATACAATGGTATTCACAACATCCATGAATAACCATACCTGGTGGTAAAGAAAGTAGAGCGTGATCTCTCAGAGCGGCTAACCAATACTGACTTAAACTCAACAACTCTGGTTGCACTAAACTTAATAGACTTTCTGTCTGAAATTCAAACTTCCCGAAATCTTCATCATTTCCATCATCAACCTGGTTTGCGTTCTGGTTAAATGTGTCTTTACTGTTTAATGCTGCGCCATCCCTTATCATAGCAACGACATACACCTAAAAAAAAGGATATTAACGTAAATGTAGTTAATATTAATAGATTTTATATTCATTATTGAAGTATTATAATTATTTGTTCGTGTTACCTCCGCCCAAGCTTTCAATATTGCCAATCTTTCGAGCGTCAACAAACTTTCGTTATAAAGTTGCGCACGCGTATGCCCTTCTCTTAATTTCTCCAAAGAGGATACAAGCAATTGATGCACTCTACGAAGATCATTCAAATCTCTAGCAACTCCACTTCCAATCCAAGCGCTACAGGCCTGGCAAGCTGCAGCTGTGACGTGTGATGCTGTTTCTGCTGAGAACGCGGGCCTCAATGCGGCTCCAACCTACGATAATTAATGATCGAAGATGCATATAATAATAGTTCACCAATATTTGTAATGTATGCATGTATAATCGATTGCAAGTACTTGTGCTTGAAACTGTTCGAGTAACAGATGGCCAGGAAACTCTGGTTCAGGAACTTTCGCGAACTTATCTATAATCTCTTGGAGGGTTTTCAGACCCTCGAGCCTCAAAGGATCACAGTCACTGGTTGCAGCCATAAACGCCATTCGTACCAAATCAGAAAGATGCAATACCAGGAAATCGCCTTGTTTTAAGATTAATACAAATTAATGGAGACTGACAGTAGAACATACTATCGTATATTTCGAAGAAATCATACTTTTTCCTTTAGACAGCTGCATTTCCTTAGCTAAAGCCAAATCAAAATGGGCCTGTTTATTGTTCACGCAAGCGGCTACGATTCTTCTAACACACTGCGCTGCAAAAACTCTAGTTGGCCACCTCGGCGTGATGGTTGGTCGTTGCTTTGTGGATTCATCTGCATGGAACTCGGCTTGATCGTCATCTCCTTCTGCGTCTGCATTGTCATTGTCCGCAGCGCTATCTTCCACATTGATGGTATTCACTTCTTCATTGCTACACGTTTCTGTATATAATAAAATATACGAATGTTGTATCATTATTCAATTCATGTTGTTCGATTAGATATTTGTATAATTTTGTCAATCAGTTATACCTGACGCTATAGTAAGGACGTCTTTGCACAAAGACAACCATTGCGACAGATTATCCGCCGCCAAAATTTGCAGCATACTGGTTAACGTGTCATGGATATCTTTGATTAATTTACTGTCGGTCTCTGTGTCTAGCATGCTGAACAAAACACCAGGAAGACCAGTTTCTGTTATAACAAGGCCTTCCACCATATTGGTGTCCCGACTCTCGTTAGCTAACGTCATCGCATGCTCGCATACTTCTTTCGCTTCTCGTTGAGCCAACTGACGAAGGCAAGATATTGCGGCTTTGCGTAACAGTAGGTGATTACTCGACAATGTTCGCTATGGACAAAAATGAATGTGTTTAACGACACGATAGGTGTTAATATTTACAGCATTTTATGTTTTTATAATAAAGAACTTACGCATAGTGTAGGAACGAGAGAAGACAGGTTAACATGTCTCGGTGCAAATAAATGCAACTGTTGAAGGCATCCGGTCGCTTCCGCTTGTACAAGAGGATCTTGATGATCTTGCATGATAGCACAAGCACACAAAAACGACGAACGGGCCATACATATTGTCGATGTATTACCTGAAAGAGCAATTATTATAAATCAAAATATAAAGTTGTTTATCAGTTATACATATTTAAGTAATAATTTTTGTCTACAATGAACAGGATGTAGACCACCTAACCTTGCAATTCTGGTCCTATTGTTGTAATAAGCGCTGATAATACTTTTCCTATACATTGATGTACATCGATATAAGAATGAGGAACATTGAGAAGAAGAGTTAACGCTAAAGACAACGTAGGTTCAACGTAGCCCCGAAACATTGGTCCACCAGAGTCAGCTATTAGTGCGAGAGCGTGTAATGCCCATACCTGGACATAATTATAAGACGAATTATTGAATGGCTTAAATGTATTACGGACATGCATACGTGGACAGATATATTTATATATAGTCGTACTTGCACTACGGGAGACGAGTTATCTTGGGCAAGTGCAAGTAGAATACTGACACTCGTGTTGAGATGTTGACTAGATCCCATACCTCCCACATACTTATGAAGGCACCCTAAAGCTAAAGAATGACCAGTTCTACTCGCAACGTCGCGAGCTGATTTCAATCGATCGAAACTCGTTTGTGCTAATTCCGCTGTGAATTTAGGATCGGAAATCACTTGGGCCATTCTGCCGACAGCCTCGCCGGCTGCCCATCTCAGTATTGAATTGCTGCTTACTAGAGCACTCTATAAATGTACACACGTATCATTGAATAATACTTAATAGTAGTATATACTTTAAAATATATATAAATGATAAATAAAGTCTTACAATAATAAGATTGGTAGCAGATTTTTTTACATCTTCCTGTCCAAATCCAGTTTTCGCCTCGTTCAGACCCTTCAATCCACTCAACACAGCCGTAAAAACATTCATCTGAATTGCTTCCTGTCTACCGGATTTCGTATGCTGTATACATTCACGAAAGTGGTCTAACATTTGTAATCTATGCTTATTGGCTACTCGCGGGAAAATTTGACCGAACAGCGACACCGATAAGTCGATAACCGCAACACCCAATGGTAGAGGACCGGGAATTATTTCATTCTATAAATAATATTATTAAAATTATAAATCCTTATGATCTTTTGTTGCAATATTCCAAAGTGTTGAAATAATTTATAAATATTTACTTGTGGCACTGGTCTGTAAAGACAACATGGATTGTGCTCTAATGCTCCAGATCCTGCAGCACTGTTCGGTTGTAACTGAAACAAATGCAGAATATAAGAGAACCTATTGCTTTCTAATACAGTTTGTGCACAACAAAAACAGCTTTTAAATAATACTATACATAAAAATAAAAAAAGTAATTACATAACATATTAGACACAAAAGAAAATCATAATGTAAGTAATAATTAACACGTTCAAGACGGCGCGTCTCGCCCACAAAGTACTAAATGGTGTTTTTAATTTTATGAAAATATTCAGAATATTTCATTCGCAAATATTGTGACGAAAACTTAAGTATAGTTCAGCTACTTAATCGCAACAATAGTCGTCTTGAATGTGTTACAAAATTGAAACCGATGCTTCCAATATCATGGACCAGTACTCAAATATATTTGAACATATAGAAGAGAGTACAAATAGATGGCAATATTATTACAGATTAGTGAGGCTTCATAGAACATTACTCACATGTTCCAAATCTGCCCTTCTGTTTGGTTCCATCTAGACACGATCATAAATTTTATATATTAATATTATAACCTATTATACGTCACGTTTACATACCCCGTTTGCAACGCCTGCTTTACTTAGTAAACGTTAATGATTTAAAGTTAATAAACGAGAACAATACTGTAGAATAAATTTTCAAATACTCACTTGATCCTCTATTGTACGGTGATCCGTTTCTTGCAACCATGTACCAAGGATCACTGAATCATTAGCATGACACACTGCACGTAACAATGAAGTTGTCGTGTTTCCAGGATTTTCAGTTAACGTAAACTCTGATACCAACATTCTCAGAAGATGCGTATAAGAACCTGTTTAATTTGTTACACGTATATTCATATGATGACACGTAATTTTCAAGTTAAATAATTTTTAAAGCCACGAACATTTCTGATTACCTTCGAAGGTTTGAGGAGGCAATAATAATAATGTTTCGTATAAACGCAAGCGAACCATAGCCGCTGGAGCTTTCAGCTGTTGTCCATAATTTTTTAACACCGGTGATAAACTAAAATTTTATTACTGTAAATCTACTATACCACTTTAAAATTACACCTTTCAAGTAACATCACTTTAAAATGATTTATTTCGCGTAAAGAATTAAAATAGTGATTTACATACTTCGTTAACATTGCCAGCGCAGATTCAATTGGAGTCAGAAGTCGTCTTGTAATATCGTCATTTAAGAGTTCTGGACAATGCAACAGGAAACTATGCATTGCTGATAAAGCACCAGCTCTTCCTTCTAAGGTTACTTGCCAAGTAAAAGCATCGCCTCTAGCTTTTTCACTTTCTAGCTCTTTAGTCGAACGAGGGAAAGAATTTCTCCATAATAACAGCATCCTAGGCAGTAGTCCCTTTACTACTGCCGTACCTGCGTGATTAATATTATAATTTTTAAAACGTCCTGTATTGATAAATACGAACGATTTAGTAAATCCAAACCATCACATACTAAGTGTCATTATAGCTCCAATTAGAAGCCATCCAGCATGTGTTCTGTTTAACGACAAACGACTATTTTGGCTTGCGCTTCTCAAAAGTTCTTCTGCAGTATTGAAAATTATCTGCGGATGAATATAAACAAAAATGATATCAGTAACATAATCGAATTATATATTTCGTGATTAGTATGTGTATGTATATCATAAAATCTATGGTGTAAAGTAGTTGAAAGCAATTACTTTTCCTTTCGTATGAGGAACTCCGAGTGGTGATAAACGAACACTACCAAGAACCGCAGACAGGGCACTGCTGTATCCAGCTATTGCTTCTGGCGAGCTGCGCATATTTTCAATTCCGTCCACACACCGGTCAATCAAAGGTGTTATTTGACTTGGAACTGCTACACAGATACAGCGCAAACACCAAGAGGCTGCAAGTCTTGCTGCCTGACATGGATGGACCAAAACAGCCATAATAGTATCAATTAAACCTGGAATAACGTACGAATAAGTATTAGTATTAAAAATCGAATAAGTAGATGTATAAAGTAGCGTACATACTCAAGGATTGGTCGGACAATAAATTACAAGCTGTTGTGCCCAGTCCTAAGATTAAATTCCCCATTTCTTGTAACGCACAAACTAATAGATGTTGACTAAACAACGTTTCTTGGTTACAGTCTTTAGCGTTTTCTGGACTAAAATCTACGAATCAAAACAACAGGAATTAATAAGCATCGTCTATGAGAAGAATTTGAAACAAGAGAACTGATCAATTTTTACCGATAGAATTCATCTGTTTCAGAATAATGTGTGCTATTTCTTTGCAAGCAGCAGCTTGAGCCCCTTCGCCCAATAATTTTCCGATAGTACCATGTAATATAAAATTAACACACTTTCGAGAATAGACGGCATCGACATGTGAGCTAGCAGCTTTTGGATTGGTCACAAGATCAAGCACGTGTGCAACTAATGCACCGACATTCCGTTCAAGCCACGAACCTCCCAACATTTGTACAAATACCACATACGCCTGCAAAAGTATCAAGAAAATAAATTATTGAGAATACAAACTTATACGATATTTGTACAGTTTCTTACATGCGTAACTCCAACTCGGACTTCTCTATTAATACTGGAACTTCCTTTTATCATTTCTCCAGTACCTTTTAAAAAGCCTACCCCACCTCTTAAGAAACCAGCCATCAAAATATTCAATACCTCGTCAAGAGAAATTTGTTTATAGCTTTTGTTCTGCGTCACTAAACGAAAACAATAAATTCCGTAAATACTTCTTGCTGATATTCGATCGGTAGTTCAATGTGTTCATTAAAGATACCTGAAGGATTCTTTCCCTTTGGAGCTGGAAGTTGGGTCATTGCTACTAAAGTACCTAACAGTTTCGCAACAGCACATCTTACTTCATAATTTGAGCCCTCAAATGCTCGGAAACAGAGTGTAGCAACACTCTCTATTTCAGTAGTGTATAAAAATGGAGCATGGTTTAACATTTCCAGTAAACACTGTGAACATTCAGTAAAATATTTGTAAATATTATTTATAGCAATGTGGATATTAAATGTATTTAAAAAAAAATAGAATTACCTTTGCAGCAGCACATCTCACTGCCATTACTCTGTCCGTGAGATAATGTCTAGAAACTTTATATATTTCTTTATGAACATTTGTGATTGCAGATCCCATGCCAGCACATACCTGTTGAATTGAAAATAAATTTGTTTCTATGCTTCGTGGAAATTAGTTTATGCTACATATGAAAATATTACCTTCTCAAGAGTATGCATAATTTCTATTCGTGTCTGAGATTCTGCAGATCGCAAAGACTTTATTAGAATTTGAACAGTCTCTTCATACGACCTACCCATCATTCTTCCTAACTTTTCATACATACATCCTACACAGCATATAGCAGCCCTGTAAGCAATTCAAAGTGTAAGATGAGATGTTTTATGTAAATGGCTTTACATAAAAAGAGGGATGACTAATTACAATTTTGTAGGGAGAAAACTTGGCGAGTCATCCTTGTTTCTGAGAATATCATTACATTTGTTGACAGTATCAAAAAGCAAAAATGTATCGCCGACACTGAATAAAGTGGCAAGACATCTTGCAATAAACTACAAATACAATATTGTTATAAAGTACAATCCTGTAATGCAGGTACTGTTCAAGCCGACTTGCTTCAACACTTTAATTCTTTCATATTTTTTATCAAGCATTCGTACATTCATTTCATACAGAACAGAAATCAATAAGCTTTTTTAATGGTTTGGCAAGTAACATGATGACAAAAAAAAGATTCTGGTTGCCTAAAGTCAACATGCAGGTCAGAGATTTATTGAAGTATTAAATTACTAAAGATTCTTAAAATATGAGGGCATCCATTTTTGTTTACATGTGTAAAAATATAATCAGCAAAGACAATACCTTTTGTGCAGCTATTAAAACCTTGTCCAAAAATCTTAACCATTCGAATATAAATACTGGTCGTTTAGCCTCTGGGATTTGGTTAAGGGCATCCTCATTGAGGGTCAAACTGTGACTCAACTCCATCATCATTTCACTGTGTTAGATACTTAACAGTTTTGTTATCTTCACTGCTCCTCTGTAACAAAATTGTTATTATATAAATTTTCATTCAGCTTCAAGATCCCGAATATTTAATTGTAAATAACATAATGTATAATTTAAAGTTTAATTAATATAGACACGATAAATTGGCAACCAGAAACATATAATTTTCTATCGTTTTCTATTGTAAAATTTGCTGGTTCGAAATGAAACATACAATAATAAAGAAATTTACGCGAAATATGTAATTAAATACCAGATTCGACTTAGCATCTGCAATAGAATGAGTACGTGGGAAGTAACATAATTTTTTGTCCTTATATGATCCATACGAAATCACTCCATTTCACTAACGTAGAACTGTATAAATATTTGCACTTATTTACGTTCCGCGTTACAAAGTTAAACGATATAAAATGAATGACCTTACGAACAACCTGTCATTCTTTCACAATGATCTCTAATGGTTCCAAGTAGTTAGAATAATTGTTTCTTTTTTCCACATAATTGACAAATCTTTCAGCTTGAGTTAGGTTAGGGTACATCAGCAATCATCTGATTGAGATGAAAAACATTGACAACGGGTAATTAAGAATGTCGACTCGCTGTTATTTTTTTGCATCTACGCATCTTTATCTTATGTATTTTATGGTTGAGATTTAACCGCTCGAAAATTTAAATGACGTACTAAAAAAAGTGTTTTAGAAAAGAATAATAGGCAATCAGTTAAATATACAATTAAAAAATATTGCAATATTCGATATACTGAAATTCGAAATAATTTTATTCAAGAGTAATAATATTAATTTATCAATTATTACAAACAGAAGAAATTTTGAGGATTTTTCTACGTTATAGAAATATTAATTTGTTCTTATTTTAAGAAAACAATACTTGATTAACTGGAACCGAAGATCTCAAGCACGTATAGAACGAAAACATTTTTTTCTCGATTACGTACCGTAAATGAAGTGAATTACTAAACAAATTTATGCCAGCCTTAAGATCTTCAATATTACCCACTTAACATAGTTTTAAACGTACATATTTTTTTTTATCACGCTAATGCAAATAACAAGCTCGCAAAAAAACCATGTTTTTTACTGCACATTATTCGTCAGAGCTGATTTCACAATCGCTTCGTGTTTGGTACTGATTATATTTTTTAAATTTAATACATAATCATTTTATCTCACAATTTTATTTTTTTTTTTACACATTTAACAATGGATAGATTCTTCGCGTTATATAACAATGCATCCACGAAGTTTAAAAGTATTTTACAATGTTATTACGAGTTTCTAAAAATTAGTCCATAAAACTGTTCATTTGCATAAACGTCTGCTACCCACTAATAAGCGTTACACGCTAATCTTAAAGTGTATTAATTTTCTAATTAATTAGTCATCAAACACAAAAGGCTTTGTTACAATAAAACTGTTACCTCTTTTTAATTTACTGTCCACTTTATCACGCAAAAAGCATGACATTACAGAATCGCGTGTTGGAACTCGGGTATACATAAACAATTATTACTAATCTGTTCTATGAATATGTTCGCATACGTGTATACTGTTGTAATATTTTTAAATCGATCATAAATATAATTAATTATTCACTTAACGTCTAAATTATTACATCTATATATAGTATAAATTCATTTAATATACTTAATTCTTAAAGATGATTAAAATAGATTTCGTTCAAAAAAGATTTCTTTTGTTCACTTTATCACCAAAATATAGTAAAATTCCAACAGTACTTCATCAGAATTCCAAAGGATAAAAAGTAGCCTAAAGACTTCCAAAAATAGAAATAAATGTATTCATCGCATTAATATTAATAGATATGATTCTTTTTAATTTATTGTCCATTTTTTTACGTTAACACTATGACATCACAGAATTACATGTTGGAAGTATGTTACATTCTGGTATTCATAAATAATTAGTAATCTGTTCTCTGAATATGTTAGCATAATGTCTACACTCTGTTATGATGTATTTAGATCGATTACAATTAAATACAATTAATTATTCACCTAATGTCTAAAATATTATTTATGTGTCATAAATTAATTTTATATACCTAATTTTTAAAGGTGATTAAAATTACATTCAATCAAATTTAAAGACTTAAGTAAAACTCTAACAGTACTTTATCATAGTTCCAAAAGAGAAAAAGTAACCTAAAGACCTCCAAAAATAGAAATTAAATATATTCATCTCATTAATATTGATTCAGGTTTTATCATTCAATCTAGTAACCGTGAGACCTAGAAGTCTTTAAAAGTCTTAACTCTTAACAGACAATTTTACTGTTTTCCATGTTAAATTTCATCCTTATGAATTTGTCGCGTTCGTATTTGCCATGAACCCATAAAACCAACTATTTAATCTAGGGTCAAGATCGATATTTCATGGAAATCCAACAGAAGACAAAAATGACGTAAGAGGTTCCTACGAAAAGGTACAAGAGTATCCACTCAAAATCGATCTTCATTTGAACCAAACTTGTTCACAATAAATTAATGCTTCATCGTCAGTAAAAATACGTCAAAAAAACCTTCGACACTAATGACTTCGATTTTAAGACGTAATATATAGAAGTTTTAATTTATTATACAAAGATTGAACTAATTTTGTGAAATTCGATGTGTACGTTTTTTGTTACATTTAAAGATAGCTTTACATGATAAACTGTCTATAATTCCTCAGTTGGAAGCGGCCTGATCTAGAGTTAAATTAATCATGGTTCATATTGATATAAATTAACTAATTTTTCTGTTAAAATCAAGTTAGAACCGTTAACAACTTGGGCGAAGAATTGTAGCTCCAAATTTTATGGCCCTCTACTACGAATTTGGCTATAGATGCGTCCGTCAGATTGTTGAAAGAAAATCTCGATGAATATTGAAGCATCGCCGTATCCACCGAGGCGATACGTTTTCCATATAATCATGGCGGCGCAAAGAAACACGCTTCGAGGCAGGTACATATATATACCGCGGGTCAATCGGCGGAGACGGGTGATTTTCATCACGCCAGTCGGCGAGATTGACACATTGTTTTACGTGGAAAAACAGGGGCAGACTATGGAACGTATGTTTTATTCAGTCCCGCGATTACAAACAGCTTGCGAACAGTCGTAGAAAAATCGGCTGGTGCGGCACCGCTTCCTGAATCTTTAATTCGCGTAAAAAAGAAAGAATATGCGTAAACACATTCCCCATTAACTTCACAGCACGCCACATGTCTTTCTATTCTTCGAATCATCGATCATCCACGTACGAATAAAACGATTATGACACGAGGTCGCGGAACATTACTGCGAATTCACACACTCGTAATCGTTACTAATAATAACCAGATCCGAAGGAAAATCTATTTTACTTGTCGCGGAATCTGGGATGTTGAAGTAAATAAAATGAATTATTGAAAGTTGAAGGAAATAAAGTGAATACCTAGTGATGAAAATATTGTTAATGCTTGACCAAACTAAACAGGTGATACGTATACAAGGGTTTTAAAGCGTGTTTCCCTTTCATTTTAATCACTATTACAAATTAATTGGAAACTGACGCAAACCTAGCTACTCTTCCCTATTGAATTTCACATTTGATCACTTATTGGTACACCTAATAATTAAAGAAATTACCAAGAAAATGAATAGCCACCGAAAATCCGAAGTCGAATACAACGCCGTCGACTACAGTGTCGTCCGTCTCCGGTTAACAGGTTCAGGAAATTAAATTTTTATATCGTGATCCGCGGTTTTTCCTCGTGACATACCGGTAAAGCTTATGGACGGTGGGTTGTAACATTCTTCTAGAATTTGGCGCACGATGAATGAGGAAAACCCGCCAGAAGGAAAGTGGGGGTCCCGATTCAGTGTTCCCTCCGGTTTCAATTTGAATATCGCGAGACCGTTCAACCGCGACTCGTGGTTACCGTGTAATTGTCATATAATGAATCAGCAGATTCGAAATTAATAGCTCGAATCATCGGTCTTGATCGATCGAACGTAATTTTTTCGACACCAGGGTCGTTTCGGACTGAGAGGACTCGGGACAGAAAGAAATCGTTTGCGATTAGGCTGTTTGACGTAAGCTTAGAACTTTCTTTTACTTTTTTTCCAAAAGATTGACAGAAGTTGTATTTTAATCTGTTAACTGGCTGATTCTTCTATTATAAACACTCCCTTTTAATCCTTTCATCCCCACTGTTCCAATACGTGTCCTAAGTGAGGAAATAAAATGTTAGTACAGTGATTCCTCGATGAATGCAACACTAGCAACGGCGTTATTTCAACCAATGGGGGGTCCTCCTATGGAATCAATGAAAACAGAGTAAGCAGAAGCTAATCAAAGGCTCGGTTTCGAGTAAAATACAACTCGAGACATTACTGTATCATGTATATTTTCATATCTGTGAGTATATAATAATTTCTTTTTGTTTTGTACAGACGATGTGGCACAAATTTGAATGTGCATTTGAATGAAAGGGTTAACGAATTAAAGGCAAATTACGAGGGATACATCGTAAGTTGCTGATAAATTGTCTCCAGTAGTTATCCATTAATTAACAGATTAAACGAATAAATCCATATTAACTAAAAGATATGCAAAAACATTGATAAGGAACCGACGACAATCTTCTAAAAAGTGAAATGGAATGCAAATGACGAATATAAATGAAGTAGAATAGAAATTAATGTGTCGTCCATTAACGGATAGTGCAAAAACATTGGATAAGGAACCGACGACAATCTTCTAAAAAGTGAAGTGGAATGCAAATGACGAATATAAATGAAGTAGAATAGAAATTAATGTGTCGTCCATTAACGGATTAGATTAATATGCGCACTTTATGTGGGTCACTTAAGAATGTTTCTCATTATTTTGTAAATATGTACCTACATGTTTGGCGCCAGAAATTTTCGAATACAAATAAAAATAGTGTAGTAAAAATGTGAATTACTGAAAATAGTTTACCTTTAAAAAAATATACTCTATCTGACGGTTATATAAACGCTGGAAGTAGCTCTGATGCTCATTTCCAAGATGGCGGAGAGTACGACGATCGATGGCGATTTTTAGCTTAACTGAAATCTTTTACTTGCATAGATGTCAATTATTAGCTGATAGATAAATATTCACCTGATTTGGCTTTCTATGACCGTTTTCTCCACTCCAAATGGAAAATAAACTGTAATAAAGTACGATACAATTCTAGATATTCGTATTCATAAACATATACATATGTGTCTATGGTCGTACTCTCCGCCATCTTGAAAACGGAAAATTATCTCTATGCTGACAGTACTGATTCTTCTTGTTATATTTACTATGCATTTCCATTTAGTTTAGTAAGCACGATACTCCCTGGAAATATTTACGCATTTCCTTAATGATTTGACACTGAAAACATTCAAAACTTCACGTAATTTACAGAGTTTTTGGACATTCTGTACGCATAACCTAATCAATCTAATTAAACGGACAATTTGGCTGATT